CCACTTCAAAGCACAAGGCATATCTTTCACTAACTACACAGCAATCTCAGCAGGCGTGACAATGCAAGCTTTCTTCCCTATTGTTGTTTGAAACAATCACAAGCTATTTGCTCATATTAATTAGTTTATATGTAATATTAGTCAGCCTTGATTAGAAAAATGCTCTTTGTTACCAAATGAATACAGTAATGAATAAAACCAAAAGCTTTTTTTAAAATTGTTGTGTTAGCCTTAGAAAAGGATTTTCAGGCCTTTTACACTTGAATGTGGATTTATCTTTACACAGGTCCCTGAATTCACTTGAAAAGAATGCAAGTTGATGTACCAAACAATACCAGACTAAGGTGATAGAATGAGCTGATTATTATACTTTGCCTAAAAAGATGCTATATCTAAATTATTTTTACCTTTTTTGAACCTGGGGAAAACTGATAAGGGAGACGACATCAGTAGAAGCTTATGGGCAAGGGCAAGTCAGTCTTAGACTAAATTTGACTGCACAAATTACATGCGGAGAATTGACATATAATCAGGAGGCCCATAATTGGCCAAAGGATCCTGGGAACCAAGTGACCCAATGGTCTGCATCTCTCCAGAAGAAGCTATCTGTCTCTATGACCTAATGCCTGAGTATATAGCTGACTCCTTCCCAGTGGGCTTAGTTCCCCCACCATAAGAGTCTTCCACTATTCCCAAAATGCAGTGAGAATAATGGAAGGAACTACCCGGGTTAAGGTTAATTAACAAGCTTGCTCAGTAAAAGAATTATCGAAAGTCAGGACTTGAACCCAGGTCTATTGCAAAGGCTGGGACCATTAAGCTAACAAAGACTTAAGATCAATGTTAAATTCTTTACTATGGTTTGCAAGACCTTGTAAAAGCTCCAACTTTATAACCTAACCCATTTATGCTAATTCTAGCATTTGCCAATTTCTGCAGTGTAACAATTCCATGTGGTTGATTTCAAGCTGCTAGCATGAAGTCAATCAGCTCGCAAAACTCCTGAAAATTTAACAATCCACCTCTGTGAGTTGGTATAGGTGGCTCTAGGGACATCACTGTTTACAATCCCACACCGCACTGTACCACAACCATCCGAAACAAAATTCTAAATGCTTTGCTCTCTCTCACACCTTGGAACACTTGACATTCACCTATGCCTTTCCTTCTCCTTTGCCAAAATAACTCATATTCATTTGTTCTCAGCCTACTGGTCTTCCTTCAAGAAGCCTTCCCTGATCCTCCAAGGCTTTTCTTGTTTCTCCACTTTCCTCCCAGAGCGCCCATACTTCCTGTATTTGTGCATTCCTGCATTGGTGGCAAAGCACTGTAACTTTTTGTTTTACCTATATATCTCCCACTGTATCTCTAAACTCTGGCAGGGCAAAACTTACTTCTTTTATTCATTCCTGTATCCCCCAGGCCTGCTACAAGGCTTGCTGAACAATAATAATGCTTGCTAACACGTATTGGGCTATACATGCCCAGAATAGGTGTCAGGCACTGTTCTGAGTTTTATAGAAATTATTTCATTTCATCCTTATGAGGAAAACAACCCTATCAGGTTGGCTTCATTATTGCTATGCTCATTCTGTGGGTAAGGGAATAGAGGCACTAAGAGGGTGAACACCTTCCCCTCCAGGCTCAGGTAATTAATAAATTGAAGCAGGGTGACTGGTGAGCCCATGCGCCTCCTTCAAGAAACCAGTGTTTCTTGGCCATTTTTTAATCCTCATTAGTGATCCTTAAGGAGGAAAGTTAATTAAATTTAAATTCTCTCTAATGAGAAAAAAACTAAATACTAAGGAATAGGATTTTGTTGGATAGAGGTATTAGCTTTGGGGGGATATTTTCATCTCCCAAGACCCAATTTTTGTCATCTTGGGGCAATACCATTATGTCAAGAACGTATGTTTTAGATCTTTCATTATGTACTTCCATTAATGTATCATATATTTGTCCCAAAAAATACACAATCTTGTTTCAGAATTGAAATGGTATCTTTCCCTACGTGCTATTTTGCATCTTGCTTTCTTTTTCTTCCCTACAATATCTTTGAGTGATACATAGATGTGTAGATATCTTCATTTGAAAATTCCTGAAGAGTGGTCAGGTGTGGTGGCTCATGCCTGTAATCCCAGCACTTTGGGAGGTCGAGACAGACAGATCACCTGAGGTCAGGAGTTTGAGACCAACCTGGCCAACATGGTGAAACCCCATCTCTACTAAAAATACAAAAATTAGCCAGGCACACACCTGTAATCCCAGCTACTTGGGAGGCTGATGCAGGAGAATCACTGAAACCCAGGAGGCGGAGGTTGCAGTGAGCTGAGATCACACCACGGCACTCCAGCCTGGGCAACACAGCAAGACTCCGTCACAAAAAGAAAAACTAAATAAACTACTGAATAGTATTTCAATCATGTCCACATTCCTGAATTCATTAACTCTTCCTACTATTGGATATTCACACAATTTTGTACTTCTTGGTTTGCTATCAGTGCTTCAATGAGTATTTTATACACTCCTTGAGCTTATGTGTGAGTGATTTTTTAATGTAGATTCCAAGACAGAAGCAGGGAATGTGCAAAAGTGTATAATTTTAATAGATATTGTCAAATTACCCTTCAGAGTAACTGTACCAATTTACTTTCCCACAGAGAATTTACAAGAGTATACATTTCCCCCAGTGATTGTATGAAATATAACCTCTTTCTCCCTTGGGTAGTGTTAAACATTGTAATTAAATGAGTCATGTAGAGGTATTTCTATTCCTCACCAGCTGATAAGAAAATGCCATTGGAAATGCTGACAGATGACAGCAGCAACACTGGGATATGGAAATGCCTTGTCTAGAAAACCTGTGCTAGCCTAACTCACCTCACAAAAGGACTAACAAGAGTCATTACATGGGAACAGCTGCAGTGGACTTTGAAATAGTGACCTCAGGTAACAGGCACTAAATCCCTTTGCCTATTCTCCAAGTCTCTCACACGCCAAAAAAATCTATTGAGGATAAGGGAAACCAAACACCCAAAGTAAATGAAATGTTGAAAGGACAGTGATACCCTTACCAGAAAGAGAAATGCATATGACGGTGGTAACACTAAACATTCTGGAAAATAATACTAATGACCTTAGTATTTTATTCTTTATTCATACGATATGAATTAAAGGCTTTATTCATATGATAAAATCCCAAGGCTGATAACAATGCTGACATCCCAAATGGTGCTGAGGAGAAAACACTATACTAAATGAAGTAAAAATGTCCCTTATTCTCCTTTTTCTCTTTCTTTGCTCCGTCTCTCACAAACACACACGCCCCTACTTGAAATACATATAAAATTGAATAGCCTGCAAAATCATACTGAAAAAAAGAGTGTGGAATAATGTTCTGTATTAAATTCAAATTTCAATCAATATAGCTCTTTCTTGAAAGTATGCTTTTTTCTTTAAAGTTGGCTGAGGCCAGATGCAGTGGCTCATGCCTGTAATCCCAGCACTTTGGGAGGGCAGTTTGAGACTAGCCTGGCCAACATGGGGAAACCGTATCTCTACTAAAATACAAAATTAGCCAGGCGTGGTGGTAGGTGCCCGTAATATTAGCTACCCAGGAAGCTGAGACAGAACAGTCACTTGAACCCAACAGGTAGAGGTTGCAATGAGCCAAGATCGCGCCTCTGGACTCCAGCCTGGGCAACAGAGCAAGACTCCCTCTCAATAAATAAATAAATAAATAAATAAAGTTGGGCAAAAAATGATTGTCATGAATGAGAGAGAAGGTCACACTATAGAAAGAAAAATATGGATAAAGCTGGAAACCATCATTCTCAGCAAACTGACACAAGAACAGAAAACCAAACACCATGTGTTCTCACTCATAAGTGGGTGCTGAACAATGAGAACACATGGACACAGGGAGGGGAACATCACCTACCAGGGCCTGTCGGGGGTGGGACGCTAGGAGAGGGACAGCAGGGAGTGGGAGGATAGCATTAGGAGAAATACCTAATGTTGACAGGGTAATGGATGCAGCAAACCACCATGGCATGTGTACATCTATGTAACAAACCTGCACATTCTGCACATGTACCCCAGAACTTAAAGTATAATTTTATAAAAAAAGAAAGAAAGAAGATAAATGAAGAGTAAATGGGAAATGACACTTGCTGAGTGCTCTATATGTCACATGTATATAAACTATCATTTAATCCATGTAACCATCATGTGAGGAATGATTACATGCAAGGAAACTGAAGCTGAGAGAGGGTGGCATGACTAAGGCTCTTTATCCCGCAGTCAGAGGAACAGGGATGTGAACTGTGGCCTTATGACTCCAAAGTCTGTTTCCACATTGAACTATGCTGCCTGCTGAATCTGAAAGAGTCCAGTGAATGCTTGATTAGATCAGGCTGTAAAATCATCTGAACAAAGACCACGTTTCTGCCATATTACTGCTCTTCACTGAACAGAAAAAAATAACTCATATGATTGCTGTTCAGAAGTTTCTGGATTTGCATTTTGTTTTCAAAGTTCATAAAGCAGGTCAAGGCAAAAGAGTAAGTATAGGAGGAGGATAAGACAGCCCTCAGAAAACTTGCTATAAAGTTAGATCCATTCTGATATATTTCATTAAACCCCACCCACCCTCCTACCCCCACCACAGAAGTCAAGAGAGGAAAAGCAGCAGGGTTTACTGTCGACTTATTTTGATTTAGAGTCTGATGCCTATACTGACAGTTGGGCATCCTAAGCACTGAAAACCAAGGCATCCTAAGAACAGAGGCCAGTTCACTAAAATCACTTGTTCATTGTTCCAGCTGCTTCCTGAACTAAATGGCACCTCACTCACAAAAGCACCATTATTCAAATATGCACCAAATGATAGCGAGAGAGATATACATGATCCCTAGAGTCAAACACACTTTCTAAAACCCAATTTAAATATTTGACAAAATTATGACTACCTCAGACCTCTGCTAGTTTGAAGCCCTTACCTGGGGCTGTGAAATTGCAGGGATGGAAGTAGAGATGGCAGCCATGACCGCTCTGTGGTTGTAGGCAGTGAATGGGCCCCAGAACTACAGGAGACAAATGTTCTTGTTTGCGAATCAGATCGAGGTCATGCTAGGAGAAACTATGTACCTGCAAAACAACAGGAAAACCCACATTTAGCATAAAAGACTAGCATATGGGTATGAAGTACCATTAGCCAAAGGAGGCAAGAATCCCTACACATCAGTGCCAAATAACAGCTTAATGAAAACAGGAAGCCAATAAGGAAAATCTAACATCTAAATTCCATGATTTCCATATTATCTGTCCAAATACTCTTAAGTTGAGGAATTTTCATAGGTTTGAATCCAACTCTGTGTCCCTGCTAGATGTTCTGCGGAGACAGTTTCAAGTCACAGAGCTAGGGAGGGTGGCTGAGGGGGAAAAGCCATCTGACATATATAATGAAAGAACTGAATAATCCTCAGTGAAGAACTGATGGCTTACATAGAGGGCAAAGAGAATGCAGTAACCACCCTCATTTATCTGAGGAGTGAATTCTAACCCCCACCTCCCAGTGGATACTTGAAACTGGATAGTGGGTCCCACGCGATGGCTCATGCCTGAAATCTCAGCACTTTGGGAAGCCAAGGCAGGCAGATCACCTGAGGTCAGGAGTTTGAGAGCAGCCTGGCCAACATGACGAAACCCCATCTCTACTAAAAATACAAAAAATAGCTGGGCATGGTGGCACATGCCTGTAATCCTAGCTACTCAGGAGGCTGAGGCAGGAGAATTGCTTGAACCTGGGAGGTGGCAGTTGCAGTGAGCCAAGATGGCACCATTGTACTCCAGCCTCGGCAACAGCGCGAGACTTTGTCTCAAAAAAAAAAAAGGAAGTAAGAAAGAAAGAAACTAAGAAACTGTGAATAATAGCCAATCCTGTACATAACAGAGACAGCTACTAAGTGACTAATGTGCAGGTAGCATACGCAGTGTGGAAATGCGGGACAAAGGGATGAATCACATGGACAGTGAGATTTCATCCACACTATTCTACAACTTGTAAATTGTTTATTTCTGAAATTTTTCATTTAATATTTTTGGACCAAGTTTAATTGCAGGTAACTGTAACAGTGGAAAGTGAAACTTCAGATAAGGGTGGACTGCCCTAATACCATCAAGTGATTAGATATCAACTAGTCCAATCCCACCTATTTGCACAAGAAAAATTGAGGCTGAGAGAAGAAAAGGGACTAGAATCACATATTTAATGTTAGAACCAGGACTACAGCAGGACTATAGCACCAGGCCTATATGAAACAACAAAAGTGATTGTGTTCTCTGCCTATATTTCCTTAAGGAACTTAGTTGCCGCTTTTAAGACTAAAGAAAGGCAAGATACCTGATCCTGTAGGAGTCAGTCATGAGAGGTCAGGTACTCAGATAGGTGGATGGGGAGCTTCATAAATCAGACATCCACCTGTGTGAAAAAGGGTGCATTTCTAAAATCCTTTTGACATCCTCAAATTAAGGAGGTAAATAAGCACAATGTATAACCAAATCTTCTCTTATTAACATGTTCATCAAGAAAACTCAAAACGATGCTAACTTCCCTACAGTAAATCATGGCCCTAGTTCTGTCCAAAGGCTGATCTGACTCTTTCCACATTGCAATTTAGTCTAGGAAAAAAAAAAAAGTTTTCATTTTAAGAAAAGAATTTTTTAAAATTCTTCCATTTTTTAGAAACATTTTCATTTTCGGGTGGTTTTTATGCCCCCTAACAGTATCTATTCTTTTATTCAAAAGACCTTATTGGCCGGGCACAGTGACTCACATCTGTAATCTCAGAACTTTGGGAGGCAGAGGCCAATGGATTATTAGGGGTCAGGAGTTTGAGATCAGCCTGACCAACATGGTGAAGCCCCATCTCTACTAAAAATATAAAAATTAGCTGGGCATGGTGGCACATGCCTGTAATCTCACCGACTCAGGATGCTGAGGCAGGAGAATTACTTGAACCCAGCAGGCGGAGGCTGCAGTGAGCTGAAGTGGTGCCACTGCACTGCAACCTGGGTGACAGAACGAGACTCCATCTCAAAAAAAAAAAAAAAAAAAAAAAAAAAAAGACATTATTGAACATCTGTAGGGAACTGGGAGCACAAGAAGTAAGGCTAAGACAACCTTGCCTTTAGGGAGCTTTTGTCTGTAAATATACTTTCTAGTTTTACCAACACGGAAGATGATACCTGAACACTTTTTACACTATTGGGAAATGATACTTTTCATAATAGTAAAAGTAATGAACCCGGGATCACAAGATCCAAGTCTTGTACAGTAGGAACTGTGGAGTCAGACATTTACTCCAAGTCCTTTGTCCCCCAAATCCCATGGTGCTACCCTATATTAGCACAGGGATACAGGGCAAATGAGACGCTCAGAAGAGCTGCTTTTCTAAGAAATAATCTAGGTTTGACAGCAACTTCTATAAGCTTAAATTTTTAATTGCTACATTTTTGTGCAGTATCCTTCATGCTACAGTTTCAATCACTTTAGGTTCTAGTTACTTAGAACCGTAGAGCCTTCCTATTTTCTTCCCCCATTAGAGCAATTATTTTTATTGACAAATAAGTAGTAAAGTTCTCAAGCTATCTTGTCATGACATTCAACACAGAATTCCACAGCTGCCTTGTGACACTACTGATACTCTCCTCAGTCCCAGTGTTAGGAGCAAAAAAAGACTTATCACACTGTGAAGGTAAATAAACAGTCCAGGAGAAAAGTGTATGTATACAGAACCTTGCTTTTCTCAAGATGACTGTTAGAGTGCCGAACCTACCCAAGAAAATTACAGGAACCTCACAGTGTACTGTTTTATACTGAACTTATTCCTGGTACTATTGTGTGCCCACTCCTACTTTCATTTTTCCTTTCTCCCTCTTATGGATTTATAATTCACATTATCTTGTTCTATGTGACATAAATGAATATATCAATAATATAATAAATAAAAAGCAAAAAATCAAGCACACAAGATTCCATTCTTAAGGATGCATACTACATGCTCAGGTCCAATATCCTTTCACCAAGCTAAGTTATTAAGCAATATAACCTTATAATATTTTCAATATTCAGAATATAGAGAGTTGTCTGAAAGCTAAACACAGGTACCTAGCTCATAGTAAGGAAAGCGATATAGAAATAAATGAGATACACCAAACAACTATGTTACATGGCGTCATTACTAACAACAGCAGAGGGAAAGATGGAAGGCTGGGAATTCATGAGGCCACTGGATGGCAACCATTGGAGCTGTCATTTCCACTAGTGTTTGGGGCAGATACTATTCAGTTATTTTACAGAGGAGACACCGCAGGCTTTGAAAGGCGTTGTGAGGTTATGTAACATACCCACAGTCCCACAGTCAGGAAATGAAAGAGCTGAGGTAGGTCTGAACCAGGACCAATGATAAGACTTATACTCTTTCCATAGGCCAATACTCTAAGTGATCAAAGATTAAGAAAACATGGAAAGCACATGGGATCTTGAAGCAAAAATGTCAGATAAAAAATGGAGAAAGTAGGATGAAAGTCAGACAACCTGCAGAGTAACCTTGAGACAGAACATTGTGCTGCTCTCATCTACATAAAATTTTAATCATGTGACCCTCATTTGGATGTTTCATTTCCTTGAGATGCCCAATAAATATGACAGATTGTTAATTTCACATTTTCAAAAGGAAAATAAGACAGAAAATTAAATGCCTTCTTCTAAAACATGAGACATGTCTAATTTTTTTTTTTTTTTTTTTTATGGACGGAGTTTCGCTCTTGTTACCCAGGCTGGAGTGCAATGGCGCGATCTCGGCTCACCGCAACCTCCGCCTCCTGGATTCAGGCAATTCTCCTGCCTCAGCTTCCTGAGTAGCTGGGATTACAGGCACGCGCCACCATGCCCAGCTGTTTTTTTTATTTTTTTTAGTAGAGACGGGGTTTCACCGTGTTGACCAGGATGGTCTCGATCTCTTGACCTCGTGATCCACCCGCCTCGGCCTCCCAAAGTGCTGGGATTACAGGCTTGAGCCACCGCGCCCGGCCTGACATGTCTAATTTTGAGCCTTTTGTTGAATCTATTCACACATTACAAGAACGCTTTAAAAAATAGTGTACGGTTACTTTGCCAAATACAAGGTCTACATGATATAACTTCAAAGGTACAAATCAGTTTTCTCTTGGGAGCGAAGTCTTAAAATCATATCATGAAATCTATTTACTTCTTAACTTATTTACAAAACTGCACAAATCGTGGGGGAACCAAACATGGCAAAAAAGTCATTCCCCTAAGTAATCATGCCATGCAGTATCTAGCTGAGTAAGCTGGTTCACTTTAACAGATGAACCCCTGCCTTATCAGAGCCCCAGACTATCAACTAGAGAGTTGCACAATAATTTTTAAAGAATTACACCCCCTGAACTCTTCCAAGTACTTGGATACCTGTTCTGCAAGTCTTCCAACCTGCCATCAGCCGAACTCTCCATTTCCTTTGCTTGAACTTCAAAACTGTGTTCTAGCCACAGAAAACCATGAAGTAATGTGGGTTTGCCCTGCTGACATCGGGCTCTCTAACTTTCCTTGGAGGGCTACTGTTGCCCCTTCTCTTCTTTCCTGTCTCCATTTTCTATTCTCCTAGGCATCTCTTCTCATCTCTATTTCTCTTCTCAAACTGTAAAATTACCTCTAATGCCTCTCACTTGCAAAAGATGAACTTTATCATCTATTTATTTATTGGATGATTCATCCATTCTTTTACAGTCACTGGGTCTAAATTACCTCAATATCCCCTCTTCAATTCAAATCACATGTATAAAATACAATTTCCAAATTAGAAAGCTATATAAGCTCATTTTTTTGTGCCAGATTGCCAAAAAAAATGACCAGTTGATTAGGACAGGAAATATCCTGAATCAGCCCTGGAAACTACAGATAGATCTCACCTATTGCTTAAACATCTGGAAATACATACTTGAAAGAATCAACATGGGAGGTTGATGAAAGAATCAACATGGGAGTTTGACGAAAGAATCAACATGGGAGGTTGACATAAGAACTAAGACACAATATCCTCTTCGTGTGAAACTGCAACTGCACGACCAGAAAATAAGCAAATGAGAATCCACTAAACCCATAATGATACCCCTAGTTCAGAGGGATAGGGACTGAGGGAACTAAGCCCAAGAAGACTTGGGGTACATTTAAAATACACTAACTCCTTTAAAAGGATTCCTGGCTTCAGAGGCCAGCCAAGCAAGTAACCTCTGGCTGCATTTACTTCTGATTGACAGGTGGCCATGATGACTACCACGGAAAACATGTGGAACAAAGACACTCCCAGCTGGCTCCTGGCAATGGCAGCCATGCCAAGTGACAATGACCTTGCTAATTACTGGGTGCCACACCAAACACCTAAAAGAAAGTCTCTGGTTTGAGGCAAACTTCCCTTTGATTACTTCTGGAGCAGATGCTGGCTCTTTTCCCAGGCCTCACAGGAATATGAATTCATAATTGGTAAATTAATCTACTACAAATATAACCTTTTCCCTTTGTCTGGACTTGAGTCAAATAGTGACTCATACAAATTTCTTGAAAGAACACAGGGCTGCTAATGCGTGCGGGGCTTAAAACCTAGATGATGGGTTGATAGGTGCAGCAAACCACCATGGCACGTGTATACCTATGTAACAAATCTGCGTGTTCTGCACATGTATCCCAGAACTTAGGGTAAAATTTAAAAGAAAAAAAGAAAGAACACAGGGCAATGCTGAATATGCATTGACTTCCCTAAGGATAAGTGAAGAAGAAAAATCTAAATCCACCAGGCAAATATAACATATTATGGTTCAAAAAAGGGGAAGATTCTAGAATCAGAGCAAGTATTTACTTAATAAATAGATATACTATATAAAAGATAAAACTCTACTAACGGAAAATTTCTAGCTCATAGTCTTAAAATTCCAGAGGACACAGCAGAATCTTTGAACACAGAGCAGGTAGTCATAGAAAGAAATATGAGATGAGAAAAGAGTTTATATTAACCAGAAAAGAAAATGTGAATTATGAACTTGAATAAAAGCAATCAAAGAAGCAGAAAGTAGAATATTTTTAAAAAGCAAAAAATAAAATTATGATGCAAAAGATAAAACAGACTTCTCAGGGATGGTTGTGGGAAGCTAAGTGGGTAAAGATTTTAGAGCCTTCATCCCCAAAACAGAATAGATGAACAAAAAGCAATAAAGGAGAAAAGAAGAAACCATCAGTGCTGAAACCAGGAAAAGTCAAATTTATCCTCAAAACTTTCAAAAACTATTACAGATACAAAACGATTTAGATAAAATGGAGGAATTTTTCAGACTATGTATCATTCTTCAGAGAGCCCTATAGTCTGATAGAAACAAAAAAAATCCTGAACCCCAAACCTGAAGGGACAAGATGAGATAGAGACAGGCCAGAGATGAAGCTTGTCTTTCTTATTATCTCTTTCCCCTACTGGAGCTAAACAGCATCTGAAGCCAGTCTTATACCATCTAAGGCCTGAGACTAAAAGATGTTTCTCTCTGGAATCTGAGCAGATGAATAGGTTCAACAATAGTAACATCGAGAAGAATATATTGGACTTATTCAAACAAAAACAGGATGCTTAAAAAGCAGTAATTCAAAACTCT